ACACGTACCTAACACACGTTTTATGAATACCTTATCTTGTATCTTTTGTAATTTCTACTATTTCTCAATGTGACGGATTTATTATTCTATACTAATTTTAATATCGATGTTTGTTTAAATTATACTGTTAAATATGTATAGCGAAACTCCCGCTTATTCTCTAAAGTTGTAGAAGATTCTCGAGTGTAAGAATCAACAATATATGTGTGTGCGTAAACGCTAAAGTAGCTTTGTATTGTTACATAATCTGAATTTTCGAGAAACTTCTCCACACGTCTATAAATATAACCAACGCGACGCGCAAAAAAAAAGAGTATCTATTATTGGGTTGCTGTAATTGGTGTGCTATAGACCTCTTAAACTATAACTGTGATTAACGCTTATTAATCGGGAAACTTCGGATATTTGACCAGGAACGTTTATTTAACATTACAAGCCATTTACTTTCAGTGGACAGCGAGAACTATAGGGCTAGCGAGCTCACTCTTAAGTGAATTGTACCTACGTCAACTCGAAATTAACTCGCTCATCGTCAACCGACAATAAGATATCAAGTTCCAGACTAGAAGAAGACTTTATATTGTTTGTAAGTTTGTGAAACTTTTGTTTATAAATCATTGTTTGTAATAAGTATTTGTAATAACTGTTATTGTAAATTGTATTGTTCTGTGTATATTAAAACATATTTGTATTAAAAAAAGAAAACTGTGTGTATCAATCTTGTTGGCAAATATCATAAATTGGAGATATATTCGGCATACATTTAACTAATAAATTTAAATTATCATTTAGCTCGGTTTCAGACCATTCTAAATTGTAATAGGTAACATCAAGAACTTTATAAGTAGTTACTTTAAAATAGCAAACTAGTTTATAAGGTTTGCTTACTTATACTGAACAAGGGGCTATCTGCGTTGTGGCCACAGCGAAAACTGAGCCTCGAATTTAAGCGTTATAAGCCCTTTAAGTTATCGTTGAAGCCACAGGAGGTCTAAATTATAAAGTTTGTTGTTTGTTTTTAGCGTACAGTTACACAATAAGATATCTGTGTTCTGTCTACTGCGGGGAACCAAACCTTGAAATTTATCACTGTAACATCTGTAAACTTACTGCTGGCCCACCGGGGAACGATTATAAAGCGAAGTTAATCACATTGCTGATTAAAATTTTATTATTTTACTTTCTGAATTACAATATTAAAAAAAACGTTTGTTTTTGTGTTTTGAGGAATTTTCAAGGTTATTAACATATTTTTTGCCTCAGCACAATTTATCGACTTTCACCGAATTCCGTTGGTATGATCAATTGGTTGATAACGTTTTCAATTATATTTTCGTTAATATGCTTTCTATTCATTAACAACAAATATTTGCATTAATTTATTTTAATTAATTAATATTAACCTCTGATCAAATCAACTCTCTACATAATTAAGAACTAAAAAATCAACCCAGTAATGAGCATAACAAAATTAATACAGTACCTTGCAAAAGTATTCACCTTTACCAATAATGTAATATTTTGATGAAGTACAAATAATGTAAATAATTATTTTAATTTTCAGTAAAACCTGAAAAGGAAATGTATAAATTTTCTGATTTCATTAAGAATTCAGCCCCTTAAGTCAGTACTTGGTGGAAGCACCTTTGGCAGCAATTACTGCTGTGAGTTTTTTGGATAGGTCTCTACCAGCTTTGCACAATGGGATGGTGTAATTTTTGCCAATTCTTCCTGACAAAATTGCTCCAATTCTATCCAAAAAGATTCACAGCAGTAATTGCTGCCAAAGGTGCTTCCACCAAGTACTGACTTAGGGGGCTGAATACTTAATACAATCTGCAAATTTCAATTTATATATTTCCTTTTCAGATTTCACTGACATTCAATCTCCGTCACACATAACAGTGTTAAGTTTGATGACTAGAGTTTTGAATAAAAACAAGTTAATTGAAATAATTATTAACATTATTTGATTTAATTAAAATGTGACATATGTGGAATATGTTTGCACATTCTCATGGGTCTTATATTTGGATTTCAACATGGGTCTATTTCTGTAATGCAAGCTCTGGTCTGAACACACGCCGCGTATATAAAAGTCTTTCGCATACATAATTATTAAAATAAAAGTTAACACAGGGTGCTGGAAAAAGAGCTCCAGTGTACGCAAATTAAGTATTAGCACCAGCAACTTTGTTGTGTGATTCTGAAATATTAAAATACAGTATTATCAAACAGTTACATCGATATATATATATATACACACACACGACAGTAAAATGGAATCGCTCTATCAAACGCCCCACTTCTAAACTAAAATCTTTCATTTTGTTATATGACATCGATCCCTTATAATGAAATATCGGCTGGTCAAGGTGCTGTCATCTAGTGACAAAAAAGACAATAGAGACTATGATCTATTTCATTTCACTGTAAACATTTGCAAGTGTTCAAATTATTATTTTTTTACCTGATGAATTCAAACGATAAAATTTTTGAAGCATCAGTACTAACTAACCACTTCAAAAAGTAAATTTTAACTTAAGTTTATTCTATTCTGTTTTTCAGTGAAGATGTAAACTTTAATAGAAAAAATATTTTGTATTAAACTTAGGTCCTTTGTGCTGAATATTACAAACTTATAAGGAGCTAAATCCTCATTTCAGCGAATATTAATATTCAAAATTATCATTCACACACTTATATAGTTTAAGGTAAGTTTTGGAAAACGATACTTTTATTTAGACTTGATACAAAACCAGTTAACACGCTCAGTTCATTATTCAACTCTCTCCCTATTTATAGGCTGGGCAAGACCTAGTTGTTAAGTTTCCAGTATTTGAATTCCGAGGGTCACATGATTCGTGTCCATCACTCTGAGACCATGGATGTGATATAGAAGTGATGATGTAGTTCCTGTAGTCAATAAGATTAAAATTAGAGATATCCTTTGGGTGGCTTTGTACGAATATGGTTTGTTTGTTTTTGAATTTCGCGCAAAGCTACACGAGAGCTATCTGCGCTAGCCGTCCCTAATTTAGCAGTGTAAGACTAGAGGGAAGGCAGCTAGTCATCACCACCCACTGCC